CCGCGCTCCCAGGGCCACTTTCCCTAAGAAATTACATTGTGTCCGCCCCCCCAAGGCCACGATCCCTCGTGAATTGTACCGTGTCCACGCTCCCAGGGCCACGATCCATCGTAAATTACGCTGCGTCCGCGCTCCCAAGGCCACGATCCATTGTAAAATAACGCTGCGTCCGCGCTCCAAGGGCCACGGTCCTTCGTAAACTACACTCACTACGTCCGCTTTCCCTGGGCCACGATCTATCGTAAATTACGCTGCGTCCGCGCTCCCTGGGACACGATCCCTTGTAAACTACGCTGCGTCCGCGCTCCCAGGGCCGCGCTCCCTCGTGAATTACGATGCGTCCGCGCTTCCAGGGCTGTGTTCGGGTTCCCAGAACCATAACAAGCGGTTCGCTCGAGACATCGTCGAACTCCCTGCGCGCGGGACGCGCCATCCTCGAGCGGTCACGCAAAACATCAGCTTGACCATTTTGTTTGTCAAGTTTTGAAATATCCATACCTCGTGCGCTTTTATCATGGATTCTGCGCGAAAAGCTTCCCACACCAGAATTTTAGAAAAGGGAAAACGTATGTATGTCTCTGGACCCCGTTCTTATCCGAGATAGGGGACACGCAAAACGTATGTTGCCCACGCCGAATTGGACTTTACATAGTTGTTTCGATCGAATGGAAATTCGCTGGCCCGCTTCAATTCATGGCCCGGGGTAGAACACCTAAAAGAGAACCCTGGGCCCGCGCCCTTCCCAGGAATAGTGGCCAGGGAGGCGGGGGAAAAACGGTGGAGGGTGGGGGGGGATCCCGATGCTGCTGCTGCTGCTGCTGCTGCTGCTGCTGCTGCTGCTGCTGCTGCTGCTGCTGCTGCTGCTGCTGCTCCCGCTGCTCCCCACCCTGCGAGCTGGCAGCGCGCCCCCCCCCGCCCCGCGCAGCAAGAGGCCGCCTTGCCTTCACGCTCTCGATATCGTCGCCCAGAACTATCGCGTTGCCAGCTCCCATGGGTGCCGTCGCTCGCGCCGGCGAGCGAGAGCGCGAGGCGGACCGCCTTGCGTGCGGGCGGGCCGCGACCCCTCGCCATCTCGCGCTCACCTCCGCGGGGGTGCGCCATCCGGCCTTCTCCCCCCCGGTACCGTGCGCCCCCGCGACAGGTGTGGGCTGCGGGGCGCACTGCTCAGGATCCTGCTGATCCCTGGTCCGTGCGGGAGCTTCTCGTGCAAGGCTTCGCGCGGACTTGGTGCTGCGGCCTTGCCCTAGTGCCGTGGTATCAGTCGCGAGGCGCGCCCTTGCCGCTATCCGACGGCAAGACTACACGGTGTCACACCTGTTTAGTTGAAAACCTTTGGCACAGATTTGGCTGCTGATTAGGTCGGCTTCGGCGGGGAAGGCTTTACAGGCCGCAGATCAAGACACACACTGTTCATGAAATGTCGGTGGACGGAAGGACAGAGCCAATTCGCTTCAGTTTGAAAACGGGGTTGCGGGAGGGGGTCTTTTCTTTTCACGAGCGCTGACGACCTCACGACAGCTTTTGTTTCGACGGCGAAGGGGGTCCAGTCCCCAGTAATTATGTGTAAACCCTGGTCGGGGGTCTGACGTGGACAGGGGCATTATCTCCTATGACCCGAGCATCCTCCTTACATATGGCAGTGTGTTCACCAGGTTTGGCACTGCCAACTGGCGCATCAGCAGTATCGCAACGACTGGCGTTGTCTTCACGCGCGCACGGGCCTATCTGCGAATCGACGCCTATCGATCGCTAGTCACGGTTCCCTGCCTGGGTCTCACACGCACCGGTGGCACTACATCCTCTTCAGCAAAGAGTGTATGTTCTTGATAGGCTGTGGCCCCGACTTCAACTGCGGCCAGCTCTGACACATCTTCCAATCACGGGAGATCCCGACTGGTAATCCTCACGGGGAAAGTGGTGCCAGCGGTAGGGCTGGGAAGGCTTACGAGGTGTGGCGAGTGAGGCCAGTTGCTCTTTCGCCTATCCGCGCGCCGCCAATTCAAGTCCCGAGGCCAGCCAGAAGTGGGAATCGCTGGCCTTGCAATCGACCTACCATCCCCGAAGCGTGTTCGGGGAGTGTTCAGTGCCTCGATCTCCAGTCACGAAGAGTCTTGTTTGGGGGGGGTTCTGCTTCTGAGGGGAGGGGGGAAGGGCCGTCTAGGAGGGCAGGCTGAAAGCAGTGCCGTATACGTAACGCCATCAAGCATCTGCCCAAAGGCGTTGAGCAACACCATGGTAGAGTGTGCGTCTCTAGACACCGAGCGAAGACGATCGGGCGCGGGCGGGGAAGGTGTGGAGACCTCTAATGCTGAGTGGGTTTCCTGATTCGGAGAAGCGGTACCACTGGCCCCCGAGAGGCCACCGTCTCAATTGGCGGTAGTTGAGCCTGTGCGTGTACAGACTACTGAAGTGGCCAATAAGGAAGCTGCCTTCTGAACCCCATCGTACAATTTATGTGTCGCCCGATCCAGAGAGGTTGTTGTAACTGTCGCTCCACCTGCATACAACTGAGATTAATCAACTCAACCGTCAAAACTCAACGCAATTGTGCCCACTGGCATGTAGCGCGTGTTTGCAACGAAACGTGATACAAAAGGGAAGAACTGTGTTCCTCCGTCTCCTCCTGCTCACCCGCCTGGAGCCTTCGAACGCACCATGACCTAATAATACCAATGGGGCCACCTAGAATGCAACTTCGTCCTCTTTCTCATCCCTCTACGCAAAAATTATGATGCTCCCCCTTTCTCGATTTCCCCTTCCGCCTCCGCCTCAACTTCCCAATAACCTCCAAAAACCTCTGAGACCACCTAAACTCCCTCAAACAATCTAACCCCGTGTCGCAAAAACTGAATGGAACGTCGTCGAGTAGATCCGAGCCCCCACCGTCGAGAATTGCACATACCCTGTCAACGCCCCAGACCCCAAGATCCCTGAATGTTTGCACTCTGAGGGGCTCCTGGGCATTTGGAGGCCAAGACCTCCAACATGTCCAAAGATGGTCCCAGGGTTGCATGCAAGAGCGCCTTGTTTGGGAGACCCTAGTTGCATTCCCTAACACTTGGACTGCAAGGGATCCATGTATGATTAAAAAAAGGCTAGGGAGACCGTGGCCAATCTCAGAATCGGTGGCATGCTACACTGCCTTATTGTCCCCCGTATGGTCTGCCGTAAAGTTTCCCATCGTGTCTCCCGTATGCTCATCCGCATGGTACCCGATCTTCTCCCGCACGGTCTCCTGTATGGTCTCCCGTATGGTCATCCGATTGCTCTCCCGTATGGCTACCCTCATGGTCTCCCGTGCGGTGTCCTGTATGGTCTCCCGCATGGTCTCCCGCATGGTCTCGCGCACGGTCTCCCGCATGACCTTCCGGTTGCTCTCCCGTATGGCTACCCGTATGGTCTCCCGTGCGGTGCTCGTGTTGGTCTCCCGTATGGTCTCCCGCACGGTCTCCCGCATGGTCTCCCGTATGGTGTTCTAGGCATGGTCTCCCGTATGGTCTCCCGCATGGTCTCCCGTAAGATCCCCCGTAGGGTCTCACGTATGGTCTCAGAGATGGCCTCCCGTATGATCTCCCGCATTGTCTCCCTCATGGTCTCCCGCACGGTCTCCAGATGATCTTCCGTATGGTGTTCGTTATGGTATCCCGCATGTGCAGTGGCAAAAAATGCTCTCGTTACTCCTCGATTCTGGTGTGCAGGGTCTTCTGCCGCCAGGGGTGTAAATCCCTTTGGTTCGGCCTGAAGGGCGTCCAGGAACGCCCACGAGGCCCCAGATATCGCTCCAAGACGCCCCCCAACGGCCGCCAAGAGGCCCGCCAGAGCACCCCCCCCCAGACGCCTCAAAGTGGCCTCCGAGTCCCCCAAGAGGCACTCCCAGAGGTCCCAGTGCATCCAGGAGGCCTCGTGTCCACGACCCAGGCACGGCGGCAGGATAGACATAAAGGCGACTACATAATTCGACCACCCCGGCAAACCTCCCCCACTCTTGCAATCCTTCCTCAGCATCCTCCTCCACGCTCCTCCTTACTCGCCTGGGGAACGAACGTTCCCGGACACAAACATATAATATACACAAATGTCATTGGGCCCCCAGAGCGAAACGGAACCGTTCATAGCCACTGCCTGCTGGGGTCCAAGAACATAGGCTTCCCAGGTTGCGGATACGTATGAACTCTGGTCTCGAGCTCCTCCCCTTACTTCCCCCCTCCCACTCTCTCTACAATCCGACCCCCGATATCACTACCAAGCGCAGGCCCTTGCGAACACCACGAAGAACTATGGACGCTCTGGTGCCGTGCCCTGAGGATTGCCTCCCTAGGACTCGCCTGGCACCACGCCGCCCCCTCCTCCTCCAGGAAGAGGGAGTAGCGTAAGGAAGGCGCTGGGATGTTCTACGTGAGGGCATGGATCACTTAGGCGTTTCGCATTCGCACCAAACGCTCTATAGCCGCATCGGCCTTACCCGAATGCTGTTGGGAACGGGTTGTTCGAGGTCATGATTGTAGCCTAGATGATTTCCGGCGACATACGGCTTGCAGGTACAACTTCAAACGCGGTGCAAAAGATAGTGCGGTGAGCCGAAGAGGCGATTATCTTAACATTCAATATCGGAAGCTGCTGGTGTGACATATTTGCAGGCCGCTTCGGATACAAAAGGGGAAAGGGACACGAAAACATGTGTTGTGCGCTCAGGAGGGTTTTCAGTTACTACGTTGCCAGAGGCTCTAGGGAGTTGTGGTGGCTTCTCCTCCCCCTTGTTCTTCCCTGGTCTTGCTCTTCCTCCCCTCCCTCCCCTCCCTCCCCATCCCCATCCTCTTCAATCCCTTCCTCCCCCCTCCTGCATCACCTCCTCCTGTTCATCGGGAATCCTCCTGCTGCTGCTCGTTCCCATTTTCATGTTTCGTACAAGTATCCTCCTCTTGCTCCCTGCTGATGCTGTTGCTGCTGCTGCTGCTCCTCCTCCTCCTCGACGTGGCCGCCTTTTCCGTGACGGGGACCTCTTACGCGACGCCGATCTCCTGGAAGCAGACCTCTCATCCCACTTGCCACGCACTGGAATAGGAAGTTGGAGGGAAGAGGAAAGAGGAAGGTGGAAACACGGACGAATGATGGGGGAGGAAGGAAGGAGGAACACAGGAATGATGAGTAATGGTGGGATAAGTCTGAGCGAGCATGGAGAAACGTCGATGATGAAAAGAAGAAGAGAGTCGAATAGAGAAGAGACGAGGACAGAAGGTGAGCAGAAGAAGAAACATCAACACCGACACAAGCACCGATATCGGCCGCAACGAGGACGAATCCAAATGCCAACGCACAAAAGCCAGGTAGTCACATAGCGAAAGAAACGGGCGGATGGGTCGAGAGTGTGGGAATAATGCAAAGAGCGCACCAAAGCAGTGGCAGCCTCCTGCGAGATGGCGACCTCCTGCGAGAGGGGGACCTCTTGCGCGACGTTGACCTGTTCTTTGGCGGTGACCGCTTCCCAGAGGGCGACCTCTTCCTGGGTGGCGGAGATCGCTTCCCAGAGGGCGACCTCCAGCGAGACAGGCGCCGGGCGCGGCCCGTCGCGCGGCGAGATATGGTAGCACCCAATTCGCTCAATCGGGCAACTAGGGCAATGACCCAGGGGCATACCGGTCCAACGCATAGGGCAGTATCAAGGACGACGCAACGTGCTCGCGAAGCCATGTATGAACATGCTATGCTGAACACCCAAGGGTATGACAGATATTGCATGTCAGCATGTAGCAACCCTCTGGACATCCTGGAGGCTCAAATCACGAACGAAGAGGATCTGACGTTCGTGCTTCGGTGGCGTCGGGAAGAGAGGACGAGGACGAAGGGTGGAATGGACGGGGAGGCGGACGAGCATCATGAAACGCGCTGGCGAGCAGGAGAAGCGATGAGAGCCCGTAATGAAGGTCCGACGGTGAGAAATGACGACGGATCTTTCCGCAGCGCGCCACTTACTCGGCGAGGGTGATGCTCGACCCCGCCCTGGCGTGAGATGTACAAGGAACAGGCTGTCAAACACGCTGGTAGCTCCATGACTCAAACAAGCGGGACCAACATCGATGACCGTGCAGCTTCCAGATCACGATAGCGCAACATGGTATGACGAAAAATCGTGACCTCGGCTCGCAGCTGAAACTTGACAACTTGATTGAAGGGAAGTGTGATCCGGAGGCGGAGGAAGAGGAAGAACGGGAGCAGGAGAATGAGGGGTAACCCGCATCAGGCCCCTCCCAGGCGCCGCTGCGCCTCCTTCGCCGCGACGGCGACCGCGGGGAAGCCGACCTCCGCCTGCGCGAGGGCGACCTGGGGCTACCAGCGCAGGGGAGGGGGGATAGCGCCGCAGGGGATCGCTTGGGACGAAGGGGGTCTGCCCTGCGATCGCACGACGTGTTCATGGGGAGGAAGGGAAGGGGGATAGGGACACGGTGGGAGAGGAGTGGTGGGGAGGAGACGGGGGGGGGGAGGGAGGAGGGATGGGAAATGTGGATGGAGAGTAGGGGGAGACAGAGGAAGGGAGGAGGACGGGCGAGGGAGGGCGAGGGAGGGCGAAAAAGCGGAAGGGGGGGGGAGGGGGGCGTCTTTTGATGTCGTCGAAGATCTCAATGCAGAACGTAACGTGTGAAAACCATACCAAAAACACGATGCGGGGCTACAGGCCTTTACTCGCGCCTTGATGCGCTCGGCGAGCGCGAACAGTCACTGGGGTCGGGATGGGGCGCGTGCCCGTAAGGCTGCTGGAATGCGTGTAAGGATCCCGAATATCTGGGCATTAATTGTTGACGTTGAGGGGAGTTTGGTCTTAAGATTGTAACGTTTGTAAGAAAGGCAGCACGAATAGAGTTATTCTAAGGACGAGCGCAAAACAAGCTCCCCAGGGGACGAGTGGGAGATGACGCGTGAAGTGCGGCAGTATTGCTGAAAATGGAGTGGGACAAGCGACAGAAGCTGGATAAGTAGAGCAACAATCCAGAGAAAGCACAATGTCAAGGATGTGGCCCACCCTCCCAGCATCAAAAACACGACCCGCCCACCCAATACACAAGGACCTTCACCGAGGGCAAGATCCAGAGCCAATAGTACGATGCTCAGCTGCAACCCTACGTGATCAGCATGTGCTCTACATGCGAGCTTGGAGCGAACATGACTGACATGAGAACTCAGGGCGGCAATCCGTGGGCTGCTACCCAAGGGTTGTGCGGTTCACCCCAAACCTTCTCGGCATCAGGACCTTTGTGCTTCTCGATACTTCTATTCGGGTTTACCACGACCCCCAGTTGACCACTGGCGACATGCTTGAAGCTTAGCGCTGGCGGCCAATGCGCTCGCAACGGTCGACTCGCGCATCCTCCTCCTTCACCGCCGTAACCACACCACATGCATCCGATCCATATCAGGTCCCTCGGCGAGGGAAGTTCCAGAGCCAATGTTACGATGCTCTGTGCGGCCCTCTTGGGCATCCCACTCGGACAAATCAACACAGCGAGACCAAGCTCAAACAAAAACCGTCCCCCCACACCAGCTACACATCTACCCGACACTTCCAAGGAGCATGTGTGGCCCTTGCCGACTCCCTGTTTCCTCCTCCTCCTCCTCCTCTTCCTCCTCCTCCTCCCTTTTCTGAAGCATTGAGACAATGGTGGCTAGTGCTTCCGACCGACGCAGCCATCCCCCTCTCCCAGGGGCAGTTGCCCCTGGTGGGGGGCCAAACTGGTTGCCTGCAATTTGAAAAGAGGAAGCGGCAAGCAGACCCCCCCCCAGGGATCCTCCTCCTCCTCTTCCTGTTCCTGTTCCTCCTCCTCCTCCTTCCTCCTCCTTCTCCACCTCGGACCTGAAGGCTGTTGAGTTCGCAGCCTAGTTCAGCAATAGGGGGAAGACTGAGAAGTAGTCAAGTCATCCCGCCACTCCTCCTCCCCCTCCTCCTCCTCCTCCTCCTCCTCCTCCTCCTCCTCCTCCTTATCCCAATCCCCTCGACCTCCCTCCCCACCCCTCGTACCCCTCCTTCCCCTCTTTTTCCTCTCTCTCCTCCCTCCCCCTCCATTCCCCGCCCAATGGCGAGGCCAATGCGGGTGCGGCAAGCTAGGCGCGATGGGGAAACCGCATCGGGCCGCGTGGAGGATGTGGAGGAGGAGGAAGAGGAGGAAGAAGAAGAGACGGAGGCGACGAGACGAGACGTTGGCGGCATGCACGCGGGTGGGGTGGAGGGAGGGGGGATGGCTTCTTAGAAGAAGGGGTGCTTCTCAGAAGGCCTCTAAGCCTTCCCACCAACCTCTGCGCGTGGCCGAGAACGAGCCAATATAATCCACATCGGTCAACCTGAGGACCTACCCTGCCTGGGATCCTGGGAAGATCCCAACCTTCACTTTGGCAATCCTGGGACGCAGAACCGTCCTCCCGAGGCCGAACTCGGGGAAGCATGTCAATCGGAAGTTTGGGGAGGCGCAGGGAGTCGGAAGGAGCAACGTCTTCGGGGACACGCCGTCCTGGGTCAGCGCGGTCCCGGCTGGCCGCACAGTGGCTCCCCATAACCCACGTTAGCGGAGGTAGGGGGGTTGCGGCTACACATGGCTACCAAGCCCAAGTGCCAACCAGAAGATCCTGGGGGGGGGGGGGGGGGCTGAGCCCCGTGAAGGCTGACACCCCGTTGCGTGCGCCCCGATGGACCTCGAGCCCGACGAGCTCCGGCGGCCCATGGCTGGCGGCCGTGGGCTCGGCGGGGCGCCCAGTGACGGCCCGCGACAGGAGCCCCAGCCCCTCCCGGCCTCGTGCAGGCCACGGGCACGGGCAGAATGCGCTCGGGGCACCTTCCTCGCTCTCCGCAGGGGCCATCCGCCCGCCCATTCGCTTTGTCGGGAACGGACGTGGAGGGACACGCGACATACATTGACACAGGCACTCTAAAGTCCGCACAGACCTCTGGAGACTTACGCTTATGTAGATATCTGTTCTTCGAAGGAAGACGAAAAGCTGGGCGACAAACGAATGAGCACAGCCAACAGGATGGAGAGCGCTGTCCAAACATCTGCAGGAAAAGACGACATGCACACATGTTGACTCCTCAAGCCCTACCCAGGTCCAGAGCCAGCCCACACATGAGAATCCGACGGCACGCATGAAAACCTTGAATCGTATCGTTCCGTATGGGATATGGGATCGGAGGATCGGGCTCCGCATTATCCCCATACTCCCTCCCCATTCCGTCATCCTCCTCCTCCCTCCGCGCTCCTCGTTTCCCCCACAGGCCCAGGGTTGTGAGCACCCATCCTGGCGGGCCTCGTGCGCGCTGGCTTGCGAGCCGCCCGAAGCTGGAGTGCTCCCCAAGGCGGTGCGACGTCTTGGCCACGCCGCGCCCACCTGAGCGGCCCCTAAGATGCGCGCACCGAGCTCCTCGCGAGATCTGCTGCCGCAGGATACCAGGCGTTCCTGAAGGGTGTCGCAGAACGACGGCAGCGAAGACGCTCCACAAAGGACCAAAACGAGTTGCTCGTGCCCCCACAGATGCAGACGGACGAGGTCGCGGCCAGGGTCGCGGCGGAGGCTGGGAGATCCCCGACTGCTCGACCGCCGCCGCCGCTGCTGCCCCTGGCGCCGAGTACGCTCTCTGCCACCGCGCACACAGCTGGTCCACTACCTACTGGCGCGTTCCTGGGAGCTCCAGCGGTGACGATCTGCCGCTCGCAGCGGGGCCCTGCCTGCTCCCATGCGGCCACCCGCTCATCGCGCTCTTGGCGCTCAAGTCGTCTGGGCTGCTGGCGTTGCGACGGCAGCGGCCGCCAGGTCACCGTCGTTGCCGCCTTCGGTCTGAACGCAGCCTCCCGCGCCGCCAAACGATCCACCTGCCATGCCGTTGCGGTGAGCAGGAACGGCGCCAGAAGTGCCCGCAAACGCTCCGGTAACGGATGGCGCCTCAGAAGCAGCTGGTGCTGTCCACGGGCGGCCCACGTCTCCGTCTGTCTATTCTGCGTTGGGTTGCATCTTCGGGGGACCTCGTCAACCCCGTCGCGCCACGATCCGCGCCGAATCCGTGTCGAGCGCGTCGAATCCGTGTCGAATCCGTGTCGAAACCGCATCGAATTTGTGTCGAATCCACGTCGCATCCGCGTCGGACCCACGTCGGAATAAAGAAACGATTTCCACCTACAGGGCGGGGGACCCCCCCGAATATGCAAAATAATACGGAGGCTGCCCTGGTGCGGCGCCTCAGATAGCCGGCAACGCTTCTACAGTTCGCATGTTCGGTATGGCAGGCCCCCTCACCCCCCAGCAAACCGAGGTAGGGACAAGAGCGACATCACCATTATCGTCTGAGGGTCCTTCCCTCCTCTCCCTTCATCTCCCCCACAGGCTCGAGGTGGCGACACGGCGACACCCATCCTGGCGGATCTCATGCGCGATGGCTTGCTCAGGCTGGTCGCGTCGAGGCACTTCCGATGCCGCTGCAACGACGCGGGCACCTTCGGAGCCGCCCGAGGCTGGAGTGCTCCACAAGGCGGTGCGACGTCTTGGCCGCGCCCACCTGAGGGGCCCCCAAGATCCGCGCACCGCGCTCCTGGCGAGAGCTGCTGCCGCAGGATGCCAGGCGCCCCTGAAGGATGTCGTAGAGCGGCGGCATCGCTGCAGATTCCCAGCGCCGCCACAGAGGACCAAAGCGAGTTGGACGTGCCATCAGCGGCCAGGCTCGCGGCGGAGGGAGATCCTGAATGCTCGGCCGCCGCCGCCGCTGCTGCCCCTGGCGCCAGGCACGCCCTGGGCCACTGCGGACACAACTGGTCGCTACCTACTGACGCGCTCCTGGGAGCTTCAGCGGTGACGACCTGCCGCTCGCAGCGGGGCCCTGCTCCCATGCGGCCGCCCGCTCATCGCGCTTTTGGCGCTCAAGTCGTCGGGCTGCTGGCGTTGCGGCGGCAGCTCCCGCCCGCCATGTCACCGCGGCCGCCGTCTTCGGTCTGAAAGTCGCCTCCCTCGCCGGGCTGGCCGCCAGCCGCTTGGCGCCGTCGGAGCGCAACCCCAGCGCTCCAGGTCGCTGCCCATCCTGAGGTCGCGCACGTTGCGCAGCGCGGCGGTCGCGGGCTCGACGGCGCGCCCATCCCCCGCGTGGACGGCCGCGGCCGCATTGCGCTACTGAGCGAGGTCGAGCTGACCAGACCGAAGCGCCCGCGCGGCCCGCAGCACTGGCGCGAGGGTCACCACCCCTGCGGGGTCCAAGCGCTTGGCGGGGCTGAGCACACTGAACGCGATCTCAGCAGCCGCCCGGCGGCCGTGGCGAGTGGTGGCCTTGGCGGCGTGGCGGACTTGCTCTAACGCGCAGGACGACCTGTAGGTGCCCGCAGGACGACCCGCAGGTGCCCGCGGGCGTGCCGGCGGCAGCACCACCAGGCAGCGCCAATGAAGGGCACCAACACGCGGCGGACTTGAACGAACCCGATGCAAGCCAATTGCGCCCTCGCTGCAAACACGGGATGGTTCCGTTGCAGGCCGGCCACGGCGACGACCGCGAGGTCGCAGATGTTTGTCCCTGCGGCCCTGCGTAGATCGATGACATCCTGAGCTTGAACCGTCGCCGCGCCGAGGCCTCATTGATACAAATGCTTAGTGCTCACCTCGTGCAGCCGCCAATCCACGCTGCCCTCATGGACCTGGATAACTCGCTGGGCCTCGGCGACGGCCTCGGCAGTCTCGTCGGGGTCGACCCGCGCCCGCAGCGTGGGGTCGTCAACATGCGCGCGGCGCCTCAGACCATCGCGCTCGCCTGGTGCGTTGGTGCCATGGCAGGACCGAGACGCCCAACCGCTGGTGGGCACCACACACGGGAAGCCACGGGCACCATCGACGCGCTGCCGGCGACGCGCAGTGCAAGGGGCAAACAGAGGCCAGCGCAGCCACTCAGAACTCCGGCGCGAGTCAGCACCCGCTCGGGGAGCTGCAGGTTAATGCGGTCAAAGGCCTTCCTCCAATCCAGGGCGCCGCCGCATATGGCCTCGCCCGTGGACTCCGCGGCTTCGAGCTCCAGCGCGAGGCCCCACGGGGGCTCTACGGACCCGGCGCCGCCGTCGCCATCGCCCCAGGCAAAGCGCCAAAACGCAAGCAACTGCGCCTGGCATACAGCCCAGGCGCGATGCAGCATGGGAAGCAGCCAAATTGGCCGACGGCCCGTCGGCCCGCCGTCGCCAGCCTGGGGCAGCAGCAGGCCCTCTGGCTGGTTGTGCTCGCGCGGCCATCGGCCAAGCCAATCCGCTGCCTCGAACGGCCCCGCGACCCGCTCCAGGAGCTCGAAAGGGAGCGGGCGGAGCTCGGCCACAGTCCAAGCATCGAGGCCGCGGCCTGCCCCCCCCCCAGGCGCGCAGGCAGCGCGGGCGCAACAATCGCCACTGCGCAGCGCAGCCATGCGCGCGCGACAACGCCCGCGAGAACCACGACGCACGCGAACGCCACAATCCCGACAAGGCGGCCCGACCTCCGGAACATCGAGGTGGCCCCGAGCGCATTGCATTCAGCATGTAAGATAATTTAGAGTTCGATTCATATGGCCAAGGACACGGCCCACTCTGCGTTTAAGGACCTCAGCGCCCGCGCGCGCCGCGGCACCCGCGCAACGGGATACTGGCGCAACCGCAGCAGCCGCGGGGTGCACAGACGCACGCGTCGACTGCGATCATCACAGTGCTCGTTGAAACCGGGCAGCCAGCGCGCCCCCGAGGTCTCGGCGGGACCCAAACACAGCAAAACAATGGCAAGCCCAAGCCCAACATATCCAAATGCGATTTATTCCCAGCGCTCGGCTGGCCGCCTGCCCGCCCCGTGCACGAGGCGCAGGGCAGCGAAATTCGGCCCCCCGCGGCGCCCCCGGCGCGCCGCGCGCTCATCGGCGGCTGCAAAAGTCGGGCAAGCAGAGCGGGCCTGGCGTCCGCCCCGGCTGGCTCTGGCGAGGCGCCGCCGGGCGTTGTCGGCGCCAGGCTGCCGGCCGCCTCGTCGGCGGGGTCCGGGCCGCCGCCCGCGCTGCCCAGCGACCCCCTGCTCGGTCGCCCCATGCCCGCAGCCGCCTGGCCCGCCCAGCAACGAAGCGGCCATGTGATGGCAGCGACGGGCTGGCGCGGGTCACGGGCGAGAGAGAATGACGGCGGCGCAGCAGCTGGCGAGCTCGAGCGTGGATCGCGGGCTGGAAGCGGGCAGGGCCTTCCGATTATGGAACGCACGCTGCAGCAGCTCAGACACAGGTGGCAATTCAAAGAGGCGACGGAGGACGTGATAGCAGGGGTTACCGAACGAGGACACATGGAGTTGCGGCAACACATGATTGGCACTGCCTGTGCGAATGGGCACTGGGAATAGCGGGCAACCCCATCCATATCTGCAAATCGTGAACGGCTGACGATGCCACGGGGGCGTCGCCCATGCATTCACCGCAGTTTTGACGACAATCGCGATGATGAAAATCGGCTGCTCCTGTGCAATCGTCTACTATCAGATCATCGGTATCTTGTCACCAACAAGGCGTGGCGTGGTCGTTTGAACAAAAACCCAGGCGGGGTCGCAAATCGGTCGGTGCGCTCTCCAGAGGATGCGAAACTGACGAACGACTTGATCTCGGAAGTCGCGCCTCCATCGGCCGCCAGGAACGCCGCAGATGCGACTGGGGCGCCGCCATGTAGAACGCAACTGGCGAAAGATACTCTGCGAGAGACGAGGGCGATGAACGTGGTGGGATCTCCGATTCAAGCCACCGGCCACTTCCTCGTGCCATTCCAACATTCTCCACAACGTTCCAGATCGCCAAGCATGCCTGCGCTGCACCGTCTCCACATACTCGTCAACGTCGCTGGCGCCGGCGG